CTGCCCAGAATCGAAGGAGGTAGAGGGCTTATAAAACTGGAGCTTTCCTACAAGACGACCACTATCGGTCTTGATAAATACCTCCAGGAGACGCAGGACACCCTTCTCCACTTTGTCAAAGACCATGACGACAAGAGATCCTTGTACTCCATCAGCAGACAGTCAACGAAGTTTAGCCGGGAACTGGAAGTGCCTGCAACACCACCTGCAGAGGATGAGGCGAGCACCACCTATGCCCGCAAAACAAAGGCCAAGGCAAAACACCAGGGTCGCCAACAGCTCAGGTCCAAGTGGGAATCAAAAGCGCTCCACGGCAAATACCCACAGCGGGTGAAACAGGCTGATGTGGACCAAGACAAGACCCACAGATGGCTAAAAGCAGCCGGCCTCAAGGCAGAAACTGAGGGTTTTATCATCGCAGCCCAAGATCAAAGCCTCTCAACACGCTGGTACCAACATAACATTCTCAAGACGCCTGACGTAGACCCAAAATGCAGACTGTGTAGCCGTTTTGATGAAACCATTGACCACCTGGTCTCTGGCTGCCCTAGACTGGCTAAAACTGAATACATTCACCGCCACAACAAGGCAGCTGCACACATGCACTGGAAGATCTGCAAAGAGTTCAGTATTGAGGTGAAGGATCGATGGTATGACCATGAAACCACGACTGTCAACGAGAAAAACAATATCACCATTTTGTGGGGCATGCCCATCCACACTGACAGAACCATCGCAGCTAATAGGCCGGACATTGTGCTAAAGAACAAGAAGGACAAAAGTTGCCTTCTCATTGACATGACCGTACCCCTCGACGCCAACACCAGTGTTCTCCTTAGGTATTTTAGGCCAGGCGGGCCGCCTGACTTGATTCGCTTGAAAATCGTTGCCGCCTGGCTTAAAAATGAAGATTTAACCCAATGTAAGCTTAATTTGAGATTTGGAAATGGGAATTCCTATCCATAAGTAAAGAAGAAATCACTCAATAAAGTTGATGAAACATTGCCTGGTGTTTTTTTTACTGTGTTTTCTCGCAATTAATATGGTTATTTAAGTGATTTACCCTTGCATGAATTTGTTCAAACCTGTGATGCATTCGTTTCGTTGAACGGCAGCCATCTTTAAATTGTCCCGAGAACAGAAGGACACTTCAAGGTGTCATTCATGAAGTACTAAGCCAAATTCCCGCTTTCGTGGAAGGCGTGTCAAAAATGGCGTGTTCAGTGGACTCAGCGTGTTCAGAAAAGAAAAGGAAAGCTTCTCAAAGTAAGTTAAGTTCATTCTTTTCTCTGGAAAAGAGACAGAAAGGAGAAAGTAATGCGGCCGGGGAAGAAGTGCAGTCGGAGCTCTCAACATCTGTTAATTCAAAACACCGAAAATCAGGTTTTGATCGAGCTTGGCTGAAAGACTTTCCGTGGCTTGAGACTACAATAAACAATGACAGTGGGAGTAATAATCACAATGGTATGTTATGCAAGTTGTGTAGAAAACATAACCAAAGACCCCAGAGAGTAAGACAAGGATGTACTGTTTGGGTTGATGTTCCGTGTTTCAACTTCAAACGGGAAGCTTTAAAGAACACGAAAAAACAAATCACCACAATGTTGCAGTTATTATGGAAGTTCAACTTGGTTTAACAGCTGTTGATGGTGTTATAGAAGGTGCCTTTAAAGAAGTGTTGAGTGCCGAACGAAAGGCATTTATTGGCCACTTAAAATGTATGTACTGGCGTATAAAGGCGGAAGTGTCACACACAACCAACTTTGAGTCTTTGATTGAACTGTGCGAGTCACTGGGATGTGAATATCTTCAAAAGATAAGAAAAGCAGACAATGCAAAGTATACATCGGAACGGTTCATGCAGGAAGTTGTTGAAGCTCTTGGAAAAGTTGTCCATGATGACATTTTGCATTTGAAGGAAGTAAAGGCTTCACCTTTCTTTGCTATCTTGGCTGGTGAAACAACTGACATCGCCGTTCTTGAACAGCTTATTTTGTATGTGAGATATGTTTCAGATAAAGGAATCATTAAGTGTTCATTTCTTGGAACATTTGAGCTTTCAAATTGCAAAGCTCAAACGATAACTGATAAGATCTGTTCTGTGTGCCATGACCTAGACTTATCAATGAATGAAAAGATGTGTGGTTTTGGAAGTGATGGGGCAAGCACTATGATTGGTAGCAAAAGTGGTGTGGCAGCAAAATTAAAGGAGAAAGTCCCTTGGCTGGTAAATAACCACTGTGTGGCACATAGACTAGCTCTTGCCTGTTCACAGGCAGCTGAAGCAATTCCATACATGAAGAAATTAAAAGATATTGTTGCCCAATTGTATCGATTTTATGACTATTCAGCAGTCAGAACAGCAGGACTAAAGGATGTTCAGAGTGTTCTTGGAGCACCTGATCTGAAGCTGAAAAGAGCCAGTGACATCCGATGGCTGTCACATGATCAAGCAATAACAGCAATTCGTAAATCTCTGCCATCAATAACAAGCCTTCAGAGAGAGGCAACAGAAAGGAATGATGCACAGGCTCTGGGTCTTAGCAAGTGTATTTGCACATATCAGTTTGTTGCAAGTGTCTACATGATGTCAGACATATTACCTATCCTATCACACCTGTCCAAGCTTTTTCAAAAAGAGAATTTGGACTTCTCTCTGATTCAGCCACTGGTGAAGTCTACAGGTACGCAGCTAGAAACTTTAAAGACTGTTCCTGGGGCATTTTTTCAGCAAGTTGGTGGTGTCATTAGTAATCAACTAAAGGACTTTGATATCAGAAGCTCATCAAAGGACAATTTCAAGCATAATGTTTACAATAAATATTTGGAAAACCTTTGCAAACATGTTGAGGATAGATTTCCAGATGCTGGTCTTCTAGAATCCTTTTCAGTCTTTGATTCCTTCACTTGGCCAGAAGAGTATTTACCAGGTGATGGTGAGGAACACATTGAGGAACTGATCAAGCACTATCAGCCTGTTGTGGAGCACCAAGCTACTTTGGCAGAGTGGAAAACCTTTGTGAATGCTGTCCAGGCAAAGGCTGATTTAAAAGGCAAAGACAGTCGAGAGTTGTTGACAGCTTTGGTTCAGCTTTGGAAATCTTTTTTAATTTTCTAATCAGGCCACAGGAAGGTTCTTATGAATATCAAATTCAGAATAAACCTCATTGCCTGAGGGTCTCTCCTCATTCCTTCATTTCTCGCTCAGGGAGTGGGGAGAGACCCTGGGAGTGAGCTTGAAGAGAGAACCCCCCGGCCTTCCAAAAATCCTGGGGAGAACACTGGAGAGGCACTAGCTACATTGCAACTGAGCTAAATGTTCTGCATTTGAAGTCGCACGAAATTCAATCGAATCAATGTGCTCAAGCTATTCTGCTTTTGATTGCATTTCTTAGAATTGAGTAATAGCTCATTACTTGTTTGCAGGTCTTTAAGGCAAGAAATGAGTTGAGGTCTTTATATCAGCCTATAAACATTTCAGTCTATTTTCCTTAGCGTTTGTCGTTATTTGCATTTCTCGAGAAAGCAAGACATTTTGAATTTCAGAGTTATGGCGGTATGTGACATAGACCTACGAACACGTTTGCAAAGAAACATATACTTATC